ATCGACAGGGTACGCCGGCCAAAGAGGTTTTTTTTGTTATTGAATAAATATAAATTAACCCCTCCCGTTGTATATTTACTGTTTATTATTATTATTATTATTATTATTGTCACATGGTCATGTTTCTATGTTGTAGGCTATTTATATTATGTTCTAATATTACCCCTTTGGCCGGCGTACCCTGACGATCCTCGTAGGTGAAGCCTAGGTAGGTTTGCCTGGCTATTTAGGTTCATAGTTATATATATATATATAAATATATATACGACCCGCGTAGGTCAAACCTCCGTAGGTTTGCCTGGCTCTTTAGGTTCATAGTTAGATTTGCTCTACTTAGCGTATTGAACACTTTGCTTAGTTATTTTTTATTTACTCGTTTTTTTTTTTTTCGTTGGACTCTGAGCTTGGATTCTGGTCGATTGTTTTCGCTTGAATTACATGTTCTTAGTTCTTTCTTTTTTTTATTCCTTATTTTTCCTTGGGTATTGGTTTGTTTATTTACAAGCTAAACCACCGAAGGTATTTCCAAACGAGTATAATTACTTATATTTATAAGATTATATATATATATATATATATATATATATATATATATATATATATATATATAGTCCTAAATTATAGATAACGACATAATAATGTGTACTCGCTACCTTTGACTGAATAAACGACGTAGCACTGGAGTCTTCGTTCTTTAGCAGTCATATATATAATTTGATCCATGATCTAAGAGAATCTATAACTTAATTCTATTTATTGGATGTGGATGTATAGAAAAGACGCAACGTTTTTCCGACATGTACAATGGAGTTTAGATGTGGCGGGTGCCAATTGAGCACTTGTAACTCAGATGGGTACTCGAAAAGTCAGTCTCATGCCACGTGATCTCAATGATGGTTCGTATAATATTTCTGATAGAAGCCACCACAATCGGAAAACTCGGTGGACACGAATGAGTTTAAACGGTATGCAATAGGAATTGTGTAATGTCACACCTGTTACGACAGACTGTTTCAATAATGATTCATGAAAAACGGTTCACACCATTTCGGGGCTACCAACAGCTTGCAAAGCACCCTGCTGAGAGCCTGGATCGATAGCCGTATGCGATCGTCTCCGTTTCTGATATCAATGTGTCGATAATATTGTCCTTGTTGGACGGTCGACGACTATGAAATCCCATAGGAAGTAATGTCTGTGCAATGACTGATATGCCGAACGGCACTAACATTTAATTCGCGCGTGCATTGAATACTGCTGCCTTAACAGGTCTGGTGCTCCTGCTATTTATCTCGAGGTTCTTGACAAAATCCAAAGAAGAATCCATAATGTAATCGATCCTAAAATTAGAGTCACTTTCTCACGGACATGCCACCGATTCTCTCTGTCTTTACTACAAATATTTTCATGGCTATTGCTCTGACTACATGAATTTAAGTGTGTTATTAGATTGACATCTAGATCCCCCACTGTTGAATAGCTAAATGCAACCGCCATTTCTACTCCAAGAGTCTCTTTTCTTACACTCCCGTCCCTGTAAAACGTCGCTCCATTTATTTGCACCCAAATAACGACAGCCTTCAAAAATTTAAATGCAACGTCAATTGTCATCTTCTATCTTCTTGAATCCCTTTCATCATTTGTGCTTTCTTACACTCAGTCTTTTATTTTCACTCACTGTAACCCCCTTCCTACTGGTGACATTCCCACATTGCTTAGGGTGAAATTATTAAATACATACATACATATATATATATATATATATATATATATATATATATGCTAAGGCTAGCAGCGCTTTCGGCAAACTTCGCCATCGCTTGTGGAATGTGTCGGGTATTCGACTGGATACAAAAATTCGGGTTTACAGAGCTGTTGTACTTGCCATCCTTTTGTATGGCTCAGAGTCATGGACTCCATACAGGTACCATATACGCCAGCTAGATGTTTTCCATAAAAGCTGTCTGTGTGCAATCTGTGTAGTTAAGCTTCAAGATAGGACATCTAACGTAGACCTGTTTAACAGGTGTAATATTGGAGGAATCGAGACTTTTATCATACAGACTCAGTTACGGTGGACTGGTGATGTCTTGAGAATGTCTGATGACAGGATACCCAAGATCCTAATGTACAGCCAGTTAGATCAGGGCTACAGGAATGTAGGACGCCCATGGCTAAGATACAAAGTCAAACTGAAAGCAACTTGTCAGCAGTCAATATACCTCATAACACCCTTGAGCGCTTAGCCTTGGAGCAGGTAGAATGGAGATCAGCGTGTTTTAGTGGACTCAATCTGCTTGTCTGAATCATCTCCAAGAAGCGAGAGCAAGATCTAAAAGGTCAACCAATCTAACAGTGATCTGATCTCACAATCCTCACACTTGCTTCATATGTGGCCTCCTTTGTAAATCACTAGCGGGTCTTAAATGCCACTTAAGATTATCGCACAAACTTTCATAATTGAATCAATAAGCTGGCAGACCCTCATACGTGGAAACCG